GCACCTGTGGCTCCAGCGCTCACTCGCACTGGTTCTGCCCAGCACACCTTCAGCGTGTCCCGTGCACCCACCCCAGGTGCTGTGGCCCCAGGGGGATGTGCTTGTCCCCAGGACCGGTCTCCTTCTAGCTGACTTTTCTCCTTGTCGCCCCACCCTTTACCTCTCCTTTTACGTCAGAGCAGGCGCTGACATGGCAACCTGGCGCGGGAGATGCCGACACACAGGAAGATGGCATGTCTGGTCCCGTGCACGGGCCCCCTGTGTGCTGTGGCTGAGGGTGCAGGCTTCCTCGCTCCAGACCGGCCCCTGAGCTCAGGCCAGCCCAGTGTAAGCTCGGCCTCAGGGCCTGTAGGTGCGCGACCCCGTACGGTCCGGGGAACCGTGGCCTCATGTGAGTGGGTTAGGAATGGCGCTGTGGGAGGTGGCTCACACCCAGGAAGTGAGGGACAGACCTAGCTTTTCTGGCCCCAGCTCCTGTGTGCCCTTCCCGGTCTCACAGCTGCCTGGGCCCAGTGATGACAGGTGCCCGGGGCAGCAGCTCGGTCACCCTCATTGCGTTGGGCCACCTGGGACCCTGAGCAGGAGAGAAACCCCCAGCAGCGCCTAGTTGCCCGCCCCACAGTCCTGTTGCCTGGGGATCCTGTAAGCCCACAGCATTAGGGACTGGGGAGGGTCCCTGACTTCAGGACACCCCTGTCCTCTGGCCACCCCATCTTCCTGGAATGGCTTTTGCCCAGGAGGACCTGGTGAGGAGCCCACTGAGCTCCCCATGGGGCAGGAGGGGGTGTGGGGGGTGGGCTAAGGAGTGACTGTGAGTTTCTGATTCTTTCTGAAGATCAGGCATGGGGGACACAGAGAGGTGAGTGTATGAGTGTGTATGTGCATATGCATGCATGTGTGACTGCGTATGTGTGCCTATGTATATGTATGTGCATGTGTGCATATGAGTGTATGTATGTTTGTGTGTGTATGAGTGCGAGTGTATGGATATGTATGTATGTGTATGACTATATGTTTGCGTGAGTGCACGTGTGACTGCGTGTGTATGACTGTGTGTGTGTATATGCGTCTATGTGTGAATGTGTATATGGGTGAGTATGCATGAGTGTGAGTGTGTGTGACAGGAGTGAGGACAGAGCCAGAGCAGGGCAGCAGGGCAGGCTGACGGCTCAGAGGGCCTGACGTGGGGTCGGAGCATTCAATCAAACTGAGTTCATTTAAATAATTTTACTTCCTGTGGAGGCTCTGTCCTGCCTTTGCCAGCAGCCAGTGGGGCCGAGCCACGGCCATGGGACCTCTTGGGACAGATCCCAGTACATGTGTGTCCCTTACTCTGGAAAGTGACCGTTTAACCAGTTTCATTTAGCGTCACACACTGGCTCCTCACATAACATTTCTGTGACTCTGAGTGTGTGACACGCGATGTGTGTTGCCGGCACAGCAAAGGTCTGAGGCCGGGGCAGGCCCGTGGTTTCGGTTTCTCTCCGTGTGACAGAGGAGGAGCCCGAGCTCTCACGGGAGGTCGAGGGACGGTCCCGGAGCTCCTGGCCAGCCTCTGACTCTTCCACTGTCCTTGCCTCCGCTGGCCCGGACTCCCCACCAGTGCGCGCAGCTCCTGGAATCGGCTCTTTAGTGGCAGCCTGAGCTGCTGGCAGGTCTCGGGCCCAGGCCTGCCTTCCCAGGGCATGTCTTCCTCCTTCAGAATGTCCCTTTGGCTTCTACCTGGAGGCGAGCCCTCGGGCCTGGGCTGTCCCCAGAGAAGAGACACATTTAATTGGTGTCTTCCCTTGGGAGAGCTCCGTGGCGCTTGTTTCCACAACGGGCCAGTGGGGGGTGAGGGGTGGGGGCACGGAGAGGTGGGGGGCCGAGGAATGCTCAGAAATACCCAAAGGTATGAGTGAGCAAACTCCACGGCCTCCTCTCGGC